TAATACTAATATTGGAATATTTTGAAAAAAGGAAAACGGTGGCATCGACCTCCTCTTCCACATCAACCTCTTCTCCAGCAAAACCCTAGATATCACCACGCACCCCCGAGAAGTGAACATGTCCTTCTTGGACCAAGTTAGCGGATCCTGGGCGTCTATTTCGGGGACGGCGTCCATCGTCGCCGACAAGGCTACCATTGAGAAGTATTATTCGCCGACGTTGCCGGCTTGGTTGGGCGATCTCGGTGACGGGGTTCATGATGGGAGTCCGTCGGATCCAAGGATCGGGGTGATTCGGTTGGAGGCGAAATTGGCGACGTATGCCGTGGCTACGAGGGGTATCTTTGGGAAGGCGGTTGAGACGATCAAGAGTGCTACTAAGGGGGATGTACCGGCTATCAATAGTATTCGGGAGTTGAGTGAGGCGGAGCTGGCTGAGTGTAAGTTTTCTCTTATCCTTTCTGTTCTTTTATGGACTTTTCTCCTTGAGTGTAGGGGAGTATGTGCTGACTGATTTGTTGGTAGGGCGCCGGACGCATAAATAAGAGCTTTTCTATTCGCTGGGCGAAGGGCTTCTTATGATTGATTATGTACATGTCTTGTGATGGGTCTCGGTTCGCTTAGGTACTGTATTTAGAATTGAATCGAGAAATTAATGCCTGGTATGATGGAAATAATCGAAATGATTGATATTCAAAATAATACAGGGGGCGCTAAAGGAACGAAACTGTCTACCCCAGATAGAGAACAAAGGAAATGAAAGAGAAGTCAGAGATATCGTACAGTCATCATGTGGGTATCTTGTGTGTATAAGTCCAACCATTTCCGGTACGAGCTTAATGTAAAGCCATCCCATTAAATCTAGGTTATGTTAGTAGAAACCATCAAAACGGAATAGGTGAGCTTACCAGTCGCAAAGGCATCCGTGCTGGTACGCGCCCATTGTGGAGAAGCATTGCGATATTTTTGTTTGAGGTCGCTTGAAGTTTACGATATGCCTCACGGATATGCTTCGGTTCAACCGGTGTTCGACCCTCCTCAGGAGGATCGAAGAGACCAGTTTCACGCTTACGCTTCTTAGTATTCTCGCCTGAACCATTTTCGGCACCTCCTCGGCGATTCTTCTCCCGGTCTTCGCGTTCCTTGACCTTGAGGGCTTCCTCGGTCAAGGTCTGGACGATCTCGAACGTGAGGAAACCAAGGATATCGACAATATCGTCGTTGGGCTTTGATTCGGTTACGATACCAAAGCCGGCCCACTCACGAAAACGCTTGCTCTTACGATAGGTGAAGGATGCTTGACGACATTCTGACCAGAACACGTACTCTTCCTTAGTCATGTTCTTGGTTCGCTCGTCTGCTGCAGCAAGGCGCTGGAGCGTTGCATAATTCTGCTCCTCCTCCTCTTCGTCTTCCTCGTCCTCTCGCTCTGGGACCTGGACCGAGTAGAAACTGTTCACATCCCATGCGAGACCAACACGGGCCCTCTTGTTCTTCGGCTTTGAAGCGACATCTTGCGGTCCGGCGACGACACCTCCCGCAAGGGGGTCATCGGCTCCCGCAAATTCAGCAGCGTCGGCACCGCCCTTGTCATCCGAGTCTTTGACATTCTTGCGGACATCTTTCCAGGAAAGGAAAGTTTTCAGGCGCGAGACCTTGGCCTTGTCATGTCGAATGAGAAAGATCAAATCATCAGTTGAGATAGAGCGGACTCCTCGCCGTGTTGCCAGCGTTGTACTTCGTGCGAGCTGCAGTGAATGTAAGTAAACTGTAGTTGGATGGCTGAGGGTCCTCATACAATCTCAACGACTTGCTGGCGAACGATCTCTTCTATCAGAGTAGTTGTTTCCACTGATGGCTCGGCAGTCTCTCCAGAGACGAACATCATCTGGTCATAGTGTTAGTGGGGTGGGAAATACTCCTGTTATTTCCATATTGTTTCAGAGATAACCCGTTTCGATTTGATGTAGTCGGGAAAGGCATAGCTGGAATACAGGCACAGGTAGATCATTTGCGCTATCCCGATTGTTATATAGGATAGAGCAAGTCGAAGTAATAACCAGACTGCGGGAATAAAATATTACATGGAGCAGCACCACATGGAGTACATATCAAGCAAGATAGGCGTCTATAGATGGCAAGTAAAACAGTCGCATCGCGATGGACCTTACTGCGCCATGCGAGCAGCGAGCAGCAAGACTAAGCTTGCGATGTATGTCAAATATACAAATGATTACACTATTTGAACGTAGCCTAATGTATGCAAGCGGTCCAAAAAGCACGAAACAAAAGAAAACGGAGGCAAGATGAGGCTTAGATAGAACGAGATAAGGAATAGTATGAGCTTACCTGCTGGATTTCCTGCCGATACTTCGGAGTTCGATCGGTCGACATGTTGGCGAATCAAGAATGACCAATTAACATCATTCACGGCCAGAAAAGCAACTATAATACAAATAGATGATCGCGTTAAGACTCTTAGCAACGAAACGAGTGAATTCGAGTTGGTCGCAAAAGACAACAATGGGGATGTCCAAAGGATCTATCCCCGTGATTTGATGTCCAGTGACCTCCCCATATCCGGAACAACTCTTTACCCGCATCCCGTCATCCCGCCGCATTTGGTGGGGTGATAGCGAAACTTTTTGATCGTGATTATCACATTTACTATACTCATTGATTCAATTCTGCCTTCTCATAATGCTTTACCTCGTTGGATTAGGTCTTGCCGATGAGACCGACATTACTGTCAAAGGCTTGGAGGTGGTAAAAAGGGCCGAAAGAGTCTACCTCGAAGCATATACTAGTATTCTGCTCGTGAACAAAGAAAAGCTAGTGAGTGTCGCTGAATATAGCAGATGTCATTTGTTGCTACAGAATTGTCTAACCAGGTCATCAATTGGTTCAGTAGGAAGCTTTCTATGGACGTCCTGTTATTGAAGCAGACCGCGAAAAGGTCGAGAGCGGAAGCGATGAGATTCTCGCTGGAGCAGACAAAACAGATGTTGCATTCCTAGTCGTCGGCGATCCTTTTGGGTAGGTGTCAACTTTGCGCGACTGTCACGGGAGGCGTGTATTAACGTGTGTGCAGCGCCACCACCCATACAGACCTCGTTCTGCGCGCCCGCGAACTGGGCATCGAATCCAAGGTCATCCCGAACGCATCGATCATGTCCGGCATTGGTTGCACGGGGCTGCAACTGTATAACTTTGGTCAAACTGTCAGCATGGTGTTCTTCACGGAAAACTGGAAGCCCTCGTCATACTATGATAAGATTAAGGAGAACATTTCACTGGGCCTTCACACCCTCGTGCTTTTGGACATCAAGGTCAAGGAACAGTCATACGAGAACATGGCCCGAGGACGCCTGATCTATGAGCCTCCGAGATATATGACCGTTGCGCAGTGCGCCAGTCAGATGCTAGAGACCGAGGAGGAGCGTAAGGAAGGTGTTTACGGACCTGACAGCCTCGCGGTCGGAGCTGCGAGAGTTGGAGCCCCGGATCAGAAATTGGTCGTCGGAACTCTGAAGGAATTGGCAGAAGTCGAGATGGGCGCGCCTCTTCACAGTCTCGTTCTTCTGGGGAGGAGAGCGCATGACCTGGAGAAGGACTACATTCGTGAATTTGCCGTGGACAAAGCGACCTTTGATGCCAGTTGGCAGAAGGGATACGGCGCTAGTTCATGAGGCAGAGCTTAGCTTATAACGAGATGGAAATGAATTATAGATTCAATACGCTGTGGTTCTAATATCCAAGAATCAATGTTCACGAGCACAATAGCCGTCATCGGGCTTTGGGTAAATTGCATAGCCACATATCACTCATATAACCGTCTCAAGCGGTCTTCTTAGCGCCGAAGAACTGTGTCAACTTTTGCGGGAAAAATGTCTAAAAATGATCGACATATTAGCTTGTGGAAACAGCAAGAACATACAACCATGTAAGAAGCACTTACTGTAGGAGTTGACGGGGGTTGTGATGCACTGCCATAATCGCTAGCCTCCCCGTCTTCATCGTACATCATGCTTTCATCATCATCCTCTTCAACTTGGGGGAACCATCTCTCCGGATCCCCGTTATACACAATATACCAGCCAATCTTTTCACCGGCGGCATATTTATCCCGCATCTCTGTCAACGCCGCCATGGCATCATTATTTAGCCCTGACTCCTTAACCAGCTCCTCAGCATCCATACTAAGTGCCCCCGATTCTGGCATCGTAATCACTTTAGCCGCGACATAGGCATATGGCTTGCTGACGGCCTCATCGGTGGTATCGTTGGGATCATACTGCTCGATAAATCGGAGGTCGGGGAGACGGGAAACGATACCCGGTTCTGTCTTCGCGAACGACTCCAGAAGTAGTTGGGTAGTGACTGGTGCCTGAAGGTACTCTGCTGTTGCATCTTCTAGGTTGTGCAGGACAATGTAGACTCGGATACCCGTGAAGCCGGCGCGCGGCCACTTAAAGCCGTACAACATATAGACTGGCATTGCTAAGTGCTAGAAATGTAGCGGTTGGAAACACTAATGGGGAAGACAATGGTTCAATAACCGGGATCGTTCGATGGAAGGTGTCATGTTAATATTGTTCGGGGAAAGACGCTGCTGCATTCATCGTGTGTGACGATGACTGCAGGAAATGTGTCTTTGCGACATAAGTTGATCATCAATCAGCGGATAAAGGCACTTGGCGCTAGCACAGTTATGTAGTTGACAGGTCAATCCCATAATGAACGGACATTTCGGAGCTATTTATATTACCAATTCCAAATCAATGAAGGACACTATTGTCAATATTACAATGACTACAAGATTACTGACTGACAAATTTCCATTTTAATTGTCATTATTGCTTTTTGATCCTTCCTTAATCCCCCCCCCCTCCTCCTTGGTTCACCGTAATAGATCAAACAAAGGCGGTGATATTCGGCAATATCGAGTCTCGGCCTTGACATCTTCAATACTCCAAGAAACTCCAAGCGGAGGCATTCGGATGAACCCAACTGCGGCATAGCCCAACGCCACAATCGATATCGGCTTACCGCTCTTCATTAAGGCGGGATGGTTCTCTCATTCATATTGGTCCAGAACCGACAGTAAGTACTTGTGTCTACACCTGAATCAGACGATCTATAATGCTAAGCAAGCGGATAGGGGCAAAACACGTCTTGCAAAATGGTATGCGCCGTACAGCGTAAGTTCTCTAGAAACTCTTCAGAAATCATGTAGCATTGGCTAACATCGGTAATTCACAGGATGAAGAGAAAGTCAAGCTCAAAGGCGAGGTACGTGACAACTTGCGACAATACCATTGTTACCGCTGGGCCGGACAACTGACCAATTGCCTCAGGTCCATCGCCTGGTAGCACCGAGAGATCAGAAATATCAATCCAACTTTGTCGAGTTCAAGCGAAGTACGAAGATCGTGTACCGGAGGTATGCGGGGCTGTTCTTTTGCGCCTGTGTCGATGCTACCGATAATGAACTGGCGTATCTCGAGGCCATCCATTTCTTTGTTGAAGTTCTAGATCAGTTCTTCGGGAATGTGTGCGAGCTAGATCTAGTGTTCAATTTCTACAAGGTGCGTTGGGCTCTCTCGGCGGTGGTGGCCATTGGAAGATATTATGATGGATCGAGAAGCTGCAAAGATGCGACAAGGAGTGAAGACTGACAAATGATCGGTACAGGTGTACGCCATTCTAGACGAAGTATTTCTGGCGGGTGAAATTGAAGAGACAAGCAAGCAGGTCGTATTGACGAGGCTGGAACATTTGGACAAACTGGAGTGAGGCAGCTTTCAGCCTGAAGGGAGCGTGGATAGGATAGAATCTGTTCTGGATATTATAGCATTGACATGGCCACGGGATGGCCATCCGGAGTTATTGGTTTGAAGGGTTAACATATATCAGGGCGCTGCGCTTGCAACTATTGCCATCCATGTTGATAGAGGGTTCTGTGATGGCTTTGTTTATCTAATTTCGACGATAATACCCTACGGAAAGCAAATTTATTTGTTTACCTAAGAATATCACATCATTAACAGTTGACATATGACGGCTTCGTAAAGGGACTAGGAGCTCCTGAGTCACGTTATTTCCGCCGTGCTATGACAGTTCATGGGACATATATAAAACCGGTAAGTAGGTCAACAGCCGAAATCACTGCCGTGATGCCTGCGAGCGGAGACAACGTCTCACACCGGTCCACTCATTGCACGAGACTGACCACAACTGTCATTTAAGCTCAAATAACGCCCAAAGGTTGTTTCTTGGTAGTCCTCAGACCCTTGGTAGATTATACACGAGTAGACATAGTTGCAGTGAGGTGATCAAGACGTGCGATTGCGAGCGTAATGTTAGTTCTTGGCATCAATTTCCTTTAAAAGGGGACGACCTCCTGTGTTACATGAGTTGAATTGCTGGTTATGGTGACTAGTGCTGATGTTCTTCCTCTCTCTCTCTCTCTCTTTCTATTCTTTGTTAGTCTTAACCTCTTTCCAGATGAGGTTCTCATCTCATCAGCAATCCAACCGTGCATACAGCTATACTGAGTACTACTAGTACCAGATTTCCATCACCTGACCACCCATTCTCGATAAGGAAGTCACTTCGTTCCTAGTACTAACTATCGACCATCACATGCCTATTCGACACCACTGCAGTAAGAAGAGGGTCAAAGGGAATAACACCACCCAACTATCACGATAGTCCCTTTCAACTGGGATACAAACCTGTATAGTTGGATACATACTCCGTACAGATACTTCCAAGTTTCTAGAGCCATTGCAATCCTCTATCTGATTAGCGGAACGAACGGCACGCTTCTCGAAAATGGTCCTCACCGGCGGGTCAGTGATGGACTCCGTACGGAGCAGGGAAAAATACGGAAGCTGTTGAAGATCATCATAAGAAGGCGAGGATGATACTTGCCTCGTTGATTGAGCCCCAGATGATAAGCCGTCTTGGCATTGCAAGTACTTGATGAGATGATTAAGTCGGAACACCGAGTCGATCTCCGTCGGGCAATGATTACCCCCAGGGTATTGATTGAATGTTTCGGAAATAAGCCCTGTAGGGTCTATTTACCTGGAATCACAGGATACCTTCATTGCCGGCGATCTACTGGAAGGGTCAGTAAAGTGCTGGAAAGTATAGTGGAAAGTGTGATATGAAGCTCAGTTTGCCACATAGCAATCAGTGGGCTTGTCACCTTGGTTATCTCCAACAGAATATTACAGCTCGAGCCTAACTTGGCCCAGTGACAATCGACTGATCGTTTGACCGATAGGCTAAAAGGCTAAACGAATCATGTTCAACGGTACCAATTAGGACTACGATTCCTGGTACAGGAAATTGGCCACTGGACATGTTGGATCAAGTGTTCACCAATTACGCGCTATTGCCGAATAGGAATTCAGGTTGATTTGTCGTCATCGGGATTCTTACGAGGTCCGACGGCCGTGGTTTCCACCGAGGTGGATTATGAAAGGTGGACTGTGCATCCAAACGTTAGTGGACGGACTATCTCTCTCGATCAGCACCGTTGACATACCCCAAACCACGAACGGGCCCGAGGGCACAGACTTGATACACAACTGACACGGCCTTGGCAGCAACAACTTTCCAGCAATGACCTTGGAACATTAATTGGCAATGGCCGTAACAAAAGGGGAAAGACAAGATTGGGGTAACATTATGGAACAACCGAAGCAAAAACGGAAATGAAGAGCGAATGTGATTATTGCGGGCTGTGGAGAGGCGAGTACGTTTCAAGATTGTGCATTATGCATGGATTTTGAGTGTCTGGAGAAAGGTACGCGTCGTCTTGTCGGAGGGTCCACCAATCAAAGAAGTGGAGTGGACGGGTTTGAATTTCTCAAAGCTTCCAGACCAGAGAAGCCTCAGGCCTCCTTGTCCAATCCCCGAATCCCAGCGATCAGCGAATTAAGGGCTACGCGGCCGATCAGTGCGCTCGTCGCCGGGTTTTTCTTGGCACCGTTTCCATTCTCCAGTGTACGCCCCGCCTGTCCGTCACAGAAAACATGACAATCAGGAGACTGTGCCTACTCTCTGGAGGCCAATACACGATGAGGACCGGCCATCCTGGATGATTTTCATGCTGTACCCGTACCTATGGAATCAACCAGGGAATAAACCCCCACCCCCTGACAATCGTTTACTTTCGATGGGCGTCATCCACTGACGTCTTGGGTTCGCCCTGCCGAGAAAAGCCTCTCTGGATACTACTCTTTAACTGCCGCAACTGATTTGGCCCAAACGTGGACGGGAGACCCGCAGGGGAAGCAGGATAGCACCTGAGAGGATGAAAGCCCCAAACCGGAATTAGGAAAAAAGCTAAAAAGGTAAAAAAAAAAGAAAAGGAAAAAAAGGAGGATGTTGTTTTGCCAAGATTCAGGAGAGAGATTATTGATCGTTTTTTTGATTACGACCACGAGTATCCATATCGAATGTACACCTCGCGTACCCAAGTACGAATGAGTTGCCACTGTTCTTTTTTAATTACTTGATATGGGCATTCTTTGGTACATCCCGGCGCTAATGACCCAACGATTATCTCCTCTTCAGTATAACTCACTTATTATCAATCTACTTCCCAGTCTCCTTTTCATCTCTTCATCAACACTTCAGGTTTCTCTCTTTCCTTCTTTTTAATCAGGTCTTCACCCTCAGAAATCCTTTCTTTTCTCTCGTTCACTTTCCCCCCCTTTGAGTCTTGGGAACTATCCTTCGTTTCTCCATTACTAGACCTTCATCTTCTCAAGACCCCACTGTCTCTTGAATACACATTGTAGTACAATTTTATATATACCCATACGAACCTCATTCGTGCATCAGTCACCATGTCTTTGACCTACTCGGACAACCTTGCTCCCCAGCCCTTGACTGATGTCTTCACCGATGACACTTGTATTGACAGGCGCAAGTGCCACCGGACCGTGCCCATGAAGGTGCTGGCACTCGGCGTTGGAAGAACGGGAACAGCGTCTCTCCGCATTGCTCTGGAGCGCCTGGGATACCTGAAATGCTACCATATGATGTCCGCTAGTGTGGAGAACCCTCCAGACTGCTTGATGTGGCATGATGCCCTCCTCGCCAAGTATGATGGTGTGGGTGAGTTTGGAAGGAAGGAATGGGATCAGTTGCTGGGAGAGTGTCAGGTGAGATTCGGGCTATCAACCAGGCAGATCATGGAATTATAACTGATCTTGTTGTGTATAGGCTGTCTGCGACTGGCCCGCCTGTGCTTTTGCTAAAGAGCTAATTGAAGCCTACCCTAATGCTAAGGTCATCTTGACTACTCGTGAGGTGGATTCGTGGCATGCGTACGTTGACACTGGCATATATCCGAGGCGATTAATCCGCTAACTGGTATCCTGCAGATCCGTCATGAAGACTGTCTTTTGGCGTGTGAGCGATCCTGAGCACAGCTTTGTTTCGAACTTCAGCTGGGCTGCCAGCATGTATTACCCTATGTTGAACAAGTTCTTCGAGACCTTCTTCCGTGGGGACTTCCCCAACAAGGGCAAGCAGGTGTACCAGGATCACGTCGACGAGGTCCGTAGCCTGGTCCCACCTGAGCGCTTGCTGGAGTACAAGATTAGCGACGGCTGGGGCCCTCTGTGTGAATTCCTGGGAGAAGATGTCCCCGACACTCCATTCCCTCGTGGAAATGACATGGCCGACTTCTTCAAGCGTTGCCGTACCCGCAACAGGCACCAGATGATGAACGCTGCCCTGCAAGCTGTCACAATGGGTGGAGCGCTACTGGCAACCGGATTGGCCGCTACTATGGCTTTCAAGCGCTTCTGTCGGTGAACATCTTTTCTTCTTTGTTTCTTTTTTTGGGTGTTATGGTCTGCGCTGGGCGCAACTCATGGCTTTTCTTGTTTAAAAACATGGTTTCCTGTACAATTTTCTTGGCTAGCTAGCGTCTTTTGTCTTTTCTTAGTACATATAATATCCAACCAACCGATTTCATTGACTACCGTGTCTGTCTGCTCCTCAATCATTAGTCCCTGGGTACTGAAAAGGAAGTATCTCTTGGCACTTGGCTTCAGGGGGTTCCCCTGCCGCAAGGGCCGCTAGGAGAGTTGTTGTTGCCTGGCGCCGAGGGGTTTATGTCCTCTTGGCATCCTCATCGATTATCCATGCGACAGGGCACGGGAAGGGATGTCGCACAACATCTTTCACAAAACTTAGTGTAAAATCAGAGGAAGGAACCGTCTTGGCATAGTCGAGAGGGCTGAAGCGCCCTACAAGGCCAGACAATGACTGCGGGATGTTTGACGCTCACTCCCTGTTTCGACAAAGGAGACGATGGGCGAAAGGATCTAGTGGGTGGCCAAGATCTAGTGGCTTTGGAGCCGTTTGCTTGGCTAGGATAGTATGTACGTCGCGGCTTAGGCGGGGGTACTGGAAGTGGATATCAATGCTATGGTCAAAGTACTACAATTGGCCGTGTCCGTTTCTCGAACCGACCTCCTATTAAACAGCAGGCTTGGCAGCCGGTATTGACGCCAAACTAATATGGCCGCGGAATCTCAACAGGAGAAGTCGAGTCCGCCAATGCTTTGTGTTATACATAGTAACAGGGGTTGTCTACTGGTTACTGGTTCTTCTAAACATAGCCGTAAGGCATGCTCTATAAGGGCACGTGGCGAACTACATATGCAGCGACAAGCTGCAAAGACCAGGGTGCTCAGTGCGATATTTTCTTGGCTGGAAATCAATTGATGATTTGTGTCTGAAGTGCATCTATTTGGACCTTGGACAGGCCTGTCAGGGGGGTGGGGGGACGAAGACCCATCTCATAATCCAAGAACTTGGATCACCGTTTGTTACATGTTACGGTACAGATCAGTGTGTATTGACTCTATGGATGGCTGGATGGATGAGCCAAGTTTGATACAGGTCACAACCCCAGATCAGCATAATTGCACGTATAACTTTCCTGAAAGTCAATTTTCTGATAACATGGATAACTATAGAGGTGAAGTGCTGTGTGACCCCCTGTAACCCGTGTATGTTGTG